TTATCCTATCTATCTTATCTAGCAACAACTATCTATCCTACTAATATTATAAATGCGAAAGTTTGTGAGGATGTAAGAAAGAAATAAAAGAAAGAAAAACTTTATTTCACACGCTAAAACAGGTCACTCGTACAGATCTTTTCACGTATGTTAACTAATATTATAAGTACTAATGTCTTTTTTTTAAGGGGGGAAAATCATCGAATGACTGCTCCCGCCTGGGTGAGGCGGGAGGGAGTGTCAGACTTTTACTGACTAAAAACCACCCCGTTCCTTCTCTTGCACGTCGAGCCGGAGCCCCGGTTACCCGTTAGGTTCTCCGCGACTCCGAATCGGCGGCATCAGCCCTATTGGGCCCCATTTGTGGTGGTATGATGGCTCTTTGAGGCGCGCGCGGAACGCTCGGCGCCGTACGCTTGGGTCTGTTTCTGGTCGGTCGGGGAGCCACCCATGCTCGCCGTCCGCATACTAATGTCTGCGGTGAAATGGGACCAGGATGCTTACTCTTGAAACCAATCTCAATGTCAATGCAATTTCAATCCAATAAAATCTCAATAAGTATGCAATGTCAAAACTATACAACCCCTATCGTAGCTGCTAAAGTAGCATTCAGAGTACGGAATATAAAACCAAACTTAATACCATTAAGTTCATGAAATATCCACGCAATACGGATGCAAAAGGCGCTAGTGTTACAACTCAAGAGTACGAAATTTCACAATGTCAATGTCGATCGATCGGAATTGGATTCAAGAGTAAGCACTCAGTTCGCTTCCCCGCGTTACCGGTACAACCATGGCGCCGGCTCATGGCGTGGCATAAGCTAGTACCTATTTTAGTAATAAAATCTTTCATTTCTCAGAGCTACCTCTACGGCACACAATCCACGCTTGCAACTGTCACTTTGAACGACTCCCATCCACACACAATATACATAAACGATATCAACATACAAACGGATTTAAAGACTTGTGATAAATATAGTGATGTTGATGACGATGATGGTAGAAGTGTTCATGAGGATAAGGAGTTGGAAACTGTTCCTGATGATGACTTCAAAGAAGAAGAGGTGGCGGAAAATACAGGTATGTGATCAGGGCCGTCTTAGACTACCCTGGGGCCTATGGGTATACAATAATAGGGTAGATGCCTAATTTTTATTTTAATATCCGTTTGGTATATTATTTTAAATCATTACACACGTATTTTTAATTTTCTTACAGCAACGAATACTTTCGACGTTATATTGATTTGAAATGTCGCGTGACGTCACTTCTATGTACATTTTAAACGTAGAAATGACGTTTTAGCCCCCACTCCTAAACTTTGATCCGTTTTATCTGAGTATTGTTTTATTATACGACAAAATAAAAAAATACGTGTCTAATATTTTTACTAATTAGATTTTTAATTTTCATACCCTGTCATCATCTCAATTCGGGGCCCTCATGGAATGTTTCTTGTTTTTTTAACGTTGCCCGCACAACGATTGTCTCCTGTACCGTGGGTGCGTTTACAAACATACAAGTTCACATACATGTAGGATCATTAAAATAAATAAACTATGTATTAAAAAAAATAACCGTCTTTTACAATATCATTAAATATAAATAACCGTCTTTTACATATCTCTTCTTTGTGCCTTTAGGCTTAATTCATTCTGTCTCCTGCAGTAATTCACCGAGGGAAGTGAAAACCATAGTTTTTCTTCTTCTCCTCTTATAATATCTTCTGATTCACTTCGATGCGGGAACCATGACAGTTACTCATGTCCCTGGGACGCGCCGGACTTCAGTGTTCCGGTGTTTTCATGGTTGTATCTACTGTAGATCCTGGCTTACAGGAGTTGCAGCGGTTTTGGGAGGTTGTGGCGGGCTTATCCCAAAAAAAAAAAATATCATTAAATAGAGCAACGTCTTCGCTCATCAACTGTCCGAGTGTCCGCCATCTTCCCTCAATTTCAATCGTACACTTGTATTCCGTCCGTTCGGATTCATTCACACAACGTCTTATATTACTTCACCAAGTATTCGGATACATACATACAATCCCACATATACATTACATTCAGACCCGAAACAACAATTTGTGGAGCACATAAAGATTTGCTCCGTGCGGGAATCGAACTAGCTATACGTTGCGGGGTTAGAAAGAGCCATCAGACCACCACGGATGGGGCCCAACAGGGCTGATGCCGATTCGGAGTCGCGGAAAACCGGGTAACCGGGGCTCCGGCTCGACGTGCAGGAGAAGGAACGGGGTGGTTTTTAGTCCGTAAGAGACTCCCGCGTCACCCAGGCGGGAGCAGTCATTCGATGATTTTCACCCCTTAAAAAAATATATA